CCTTCAAACTCAAACATCATCTCTAAGAATCTTATAAATTTTTGCCAAGTTTGTTTTGAATGATTTTTCAGGAGATGGCAAAAATTTGTATTTATTTTAAATTTCTTATGAATGGTGCAAATTTGGGAGCATTAGTTTAAGAATCCACAAAAGCCAGTGTGTGAATATGAAGAAAATGTGATGTGGAATCAACCTGCATTTTTGTACATAAGATACGAGTTTGAGAAAGTAAGGCAATGTTTAGGAAATGAAACTATTTTTCCGGATTTAAATTGCGTACATTTGTTTATTGAAACAAACCAACGTTTCAGGCCCTTTACATGTCCCATGGTTATGGTTGACTGAGGTGGTACAGTCTTCAACCAGTTATGTCTAATATTAATGCAAACCACCCTATTTTTGCACTATAGTTACAATAGTTATTAATTAAATACATTATTTTTAATGTTACAAAGAAAATATTCCAATTTACGCTACATTACATCTTAGAAATTATTTTATTAAATGAATTTTTATAAAGTTCAATTTATTAATAATTAATAATAGAAATTAGAATAAACTAAACCATCAAGCAAGTCATGGATAAACCTACAAGCATGTCATGGATAAACCTACACATTCAATAAGTTTGACAAACCGCAGGTCCTTGCAAAAGAAGTCCGTTATCTACCCAGGACGCTGCAAGAGGCCATTGAAATTAAAAAACATCCAAATTTCAACAGAGAAGATTGTTTTTCCGTACCACCAGTATGGGATCCAGTATTTCCTCTGATGAAAAATCCCAAACAGATATAAGACTAAGAAATTAATATGTTTTAGTTTATTCTAATTTCTATTATTAATTAATAATAAATTGAACTTAATAAAAATTCATTTAATAAAATAATTTGTAAAATTTAATGAAGCGTAAATTGGAAAATTTTCTTTGTAAAATAAAAATAAGGTATTTAATTAATAACTATTGTAACTATAGAAAAACCAAATACAAAGACACGACGCAAGCACAAAGAAAAATTCGTGAGTTCCGCTGGTTCATTCCATGGCTTAGTTGGTATAGCGTCTGGCACGGTAAGCTAGAAGACGTCGGTTCGAATCCGGCCGGATCGAAGGAATTTTTTCTGAGTGTTCGTGAACTTTGTATTAATAATTATAACAAACTAGTGGAGTAATTTCACAAAAAATAATTGACTATCAATTCAATAAAAATTTTAAATATTGTAACTATAGTGAAATAAATGGGGTGGTTTGCATTGATATTAGACATAACTGGTTGAAGACTGTACCACCTCAGTCAACCGTGACCATGGGACCTATAAAGGGCTCGAAATGTCGGTTTGTTTGAAAAAACAAATGTAAACAAAATCCGGAAAAATAGTTTCATTTCCTATGTGTAACAATCGCGAAAACCTAAGAAGTCGATAAGGCAATGTTATTCAAAATTTAAAAAATACTTTTTTTTATTTGAAGGCTAATTTAATTAGGATGGTTCTTTGCTATGTTTGTACGAGCGTAATAATATGTAACGTTTACATCATGATTGCCGCGTAGGACTTTCAGTTTTTGTAGGTTTTGTGTATAAAGGCCGGCTCAGATGATATGTACGCCTACAGCCAATATAAATAAAACTTGTGTGGCTCCAAGGCTCTTTTAGTAGCAGAGTTAGTCCAGGGAAGTACTGTCACCTTACCTATTTCTTTCGCCAAACGGTAGTGTGCATTACTACGTTCCGGTTTAGAAGGGTAAGGGTTGGTGAAATTACATGTACTTGGGACTTATCCACTTATGTCTTAGGGTAACAGGCGCAGGGTCCTTCAGATATTTGCGATTTGAAGCTCTGAGCGGCACTGCAACTGTTATGGATAGGCGTGTAGGTTACCATTGGGCGCACGACTTGTTCATCTGTTATTATATCAAAAAATATTATATAATATTATAATAAATTAATATTACATTAAATAAAATAGGTAATGCCTCATAAAACACTTTGTTGCCGTTTGTTTACATTTAGTTAATTAGCTAAACTTTTGTAGTATAGTGTAGGGATCTCAGACATAAAATGAATATTTATTTTAATTTGACTCGTCTGATTGACTTAAAACTTATATTATTATGAAAATCCGATGACATTACAATAATATGGTAATCTGGATATCATGCTGCAAACAGGACGGTCTGCAGACTACCAAAGTCTTCTACTACTTTCAGTAAAACTTTCATGTTTGGGCTATTTAAATTGGTCTCAATGAGTTGTTAGCTTACACACAACTTTATTGATTATCTCATATTATTAAAAAGGATGGACGTGGATGGTAGAATGGAATACGTTGATTTAAAGAGACATGTTTATTGGTGCGATTTTTTTTATCTGCGAACCGTTTCATCGCAGTTTTCTCGCAATATGTCAAATTTAGCGCTATCCTCATCGGACTGAGCTAATATCAAATTTTCAAACAACTCGTCTAGCTCTGTGCTAAATGCCTCTATCGATCTACCTGTTTTGCCCTAAAAAGCTGGGGTTGTAAAGCTTTTGTTGATTTTTTAGGCAACAAAAATTTCCTAATTTCCTAATAAATAAGAGATTTAGTATCTCTCACAGTAGAGTACATGCTTTTTAACCTTAATTTAGCACTAGGTGACAGTCGAGTTTTCAATATAAATTCGATTAATTGAGTCTGTGTACCGTCAGTTATTAAATAACTGTATAACAAAATGCCATCAATTAATTGTTTAGTAACGAGCTCCTGACCGTTCACAACAGGTAACAGGGAAATAGCGGTTTTTATATCAAACGAACTCGCCATTATTGTTTGAGTCCCTGAATCTACGTGAGATAATATTATAATTACTCTTAATTTCGCTAATTAACTGTTGAAAATATTGAAAAGTTTCTGAGCTTGGCTTTTGTTCGTCGACCTCTTTATTTAACTGAGACACAATATCTTCCAAACGTTCATAATAGCTGGTAGCTTCTTCTAATTTCTTGTACGCAATATCTTTGTTACGTCTCTCTGGACCGATTTTACACAAGTATTCTCTTAAATAATCCAATTTAATATGAATCTCCTTTAATTGCTCAGACATACCTACAAAATAATAAAAGAATATTCTAACTTACATTATAACATAATTTACTCCGGGCGTATGTTGTACCACACGAAAGTGGGTCACGATGACTCGTGAAATGGCTTGGCGTTGTCCTCGCAGACTCCGTGCTTGATGACACGTTGAAGCATGACGCGTACTGCTGCATGCCGCATTACTGCTGGGTGGGCCGGGCTATACCCTGAACTCCGTGAGCCGGAATTACCCTGGACACCGCTGCTACATAGGCCGGGCTATACCCTGGACTCCGTGGGCCGGGATTACCCTCTCTTCTTTCTTGCAGTCTTCTATAATTTTCTTCCTTTTTTTCATTTTAATCTTCTATATTTTATCGTCTATGATTTTTCTTCTTTAATGCTTCTTCTATAGAATTTTCTTCTATGATATTACTTGTATATATTCTTTCTTCAATCATTTTTCTTTTGTATTTTATCTTCTTAATCTTCTATAATTTGATTTTCTTTTTTCTTTCTTGATATTAAATTTTCTTGTTTCAATGAAGATTGCAATCTTCATTGTTACGTGGTTCAAATTAAATTTCTGCAGCAATCAAATTGCTTCACAAAAGATAAGCTCGCTGGTGTGGGTCGCCATCTCATATTATTAAAAAGGGTGGACGTAGATGGTAGAGTGAAATTCGTTGATTTAAATTTACAGAGACATGTTTATTGGCCGGTCTCCGGAACATAATTGAGTAAATAATACAATTTAAAATAAAAGTAAACTTAAAAGCTAACCAAGCAATACACACCACATGTTGAAGTTAGACAAGTTTATAAATATCGTCTATCTATATTACAATTTTTTGGAGTACGCTGTTTTGTATATATATATATATATATATATATATATATATATATATATTGTGTGAGTAACTAGCGTGAATGAGTACAATTTCAGCAGGTACTGGTGACTGCTAAATTACATGCGTACATTTTTTGGGTTTATTTATTTTAAATATAGAAAGGATTTTGGAGTACTTTTTCTTTGACAGGAGAAGAAATCTCTTTATGAGGTTTTGCAACATGTGGACCTTACTGTAACAGTATAATGTATGGATTTTTTTTCATATATAAGAATAATATCGACTCTGGAAAGGTAAAATTTTTAACATGCATTAGGAAAATGTAAATAGTAAGTAATAATAAAACAATTTTGAGCTTTATTAACGTCACTCTGATACGCAATTTAAATTTTTTATATATAAGTATTATTGTCAAAACTTAAAAAAATATTAATTTAAAAACTAAAAATAAATACAATTAATGTCTTACCGACGTCTAAATACTTGCCAAAGTAATTACGAAACAACAGAGCAATTTTAATAGAGTGGTGTAAAACAATAGGTCACAGTGCTTTCAAAACCTGCAACAATGGCGCGCTGCCGTGTCGCGCGCACCGCCTCACACCGGCCGCCGGTAGCCATCATTGCGTCCATTTTCTAATAAACAATTACTTTTAAGTTATTAAAATTATGGGTCAACAAATTATTCAACCGCACCATACCGCATAGAGTTGTAAAAAGAGACTTCGGTTAGTTTCGAAGTCGACAAGGTAAAGTTGCGGGCGTTTAGGTGTTTGTAAATGCGGACCGCGGCGCGCCGTGCAGATTGCCGGCAGTCCCAACCGCGCGCCCCACGCGGACGGCCGCGCCTACCGTCCTCCCGCGACGCTGACTTCGCCGGACGTGCCGCTCTCGCGTGTGCTATGACTATGGTGTTGTGTTCGCGCTCCTTACTATAGTGCTCCTCTTATAGTATTGACGAGTGAATCTTCGCTCAAGCATGCTGATGGTTCAGACTAACGCGCAACCCATGAAGACCACCAAGTTGAAAGGTCCCCCGCCTGTGCCTCCGCGACCTAAGCAAAGTGTGGTCGCGGAGGCGCTCGCTAAGACGAGGAAGGCCGTCGCCGAGTCGAAGGCCAACTTTTCTAAGACTCATGTGACGCCTAAAGATGAGCGGTCCCCGAGATCCAAAACTTTGGATAGAACTATGCAACCGTCGGTGTCACCAAAACAGAATGGTTTAGCACGCGTTAAATCATTCATCAGAGACGTTATTAGCGATCGGAGCTCTTCGTCTGACGAGAAAAAATCTAGCGGTCAAAATTCCAGGAGGAGCTCAAGCGACAGTAGTACGGCACTCAAAAAATCATCAAATGAGTCTCTCAACTCCAAAGCGGTCAAGACTTGTAAACAAATATTAGTGCGATCTCTTTCCACATCCAATAAATTAGATCAAGATACCAAATGTAAAGTATCAAAGTCATCTAGCTTTGGAGAAAAGACTTTACCTTTACGGAAAGCACCTCCTCCCCCATTGTCTCCAAAGCCGAAAGTGAAACCCATGAGACCTTTGCCATTATATAGATCTTTAGAGAGAAGGAAACCCAAAGCGCCATTGTCACCTGAAGTAAGTCCGTATGCATCCCCTGTGGATGCGAAGCCACCACAAAGTCCACAGTCTGAAGCGCCTTACGCTACTGTAGAAGAAGTTCAGGAATTTGACGACAGATTACGAAACAGCCCATCGAAGCAAGTCAACAACCTCGCTAATACTCATACCGCTCGTGACACACCTAAATGTGACGAAACTGTAAATAAAAATAACAATTCACTAGAACGTAAAACCTCTAGAGTCACGGAGATGCTAATTTCGGAAATCCTCGCGAGTAGAAACAATAACAAAGACAACGCACACACAGTTATAGACAAGGGCAAGGATTCCGAGAAACTTACTAATGGAAATGTCTCACCGGAGATTGAAATGATGAAGGATATGAACAATCACGAAATGTTGATATACGAATTGCAAACCATGCGGTCGCACTCAAATGTGCCTGAGAGCTTAGACTATCCTATAGACGAGCCAGCCAGGGAAATATCGCCCGAGGAGAGAAATGGCCATTGCGATTCGGAAGACTTCAATTATGACGCGGTTCCCTCGGAGGAAAGTGGGAACACCGACGACGGCAACGACCAAGCTTACGCTTACATTTCAGATGATGATCTGAAATCTAGGTAGGTTGTTATTGTTGAGTTTCAAGCTACATTAATGACTAATTGCACGGAGACGGTAAAAAACTTCCTTGTTTTTAATTCACATACCAACCAGATGTGTGCGAAAGGTCATCCGTCGCAAATGAACCCGGTTATACTCGCTCGTCTGTTGCTAAATGTTGTCAGTTTCTAGGCCACCGTAATGAACCTGTACATGCTGTCAAAACTAAATCTAGATGCCAATACGCGCCAATTTAATAAATTAATCAAAAACGACTGCTATTTACCATTCCTATTTAGTGAAATGCAACACATATTACTATATTGTGTATTATTATTCTAATACATTGTGGAATAGTGACGTCATGGTGACTATTAATTATTTTTCCATTTACGTTCAGGTAATGCATCAGCGCAGCGTTCAGTATTTATTTATTTTATTTATTTATTTATTTATTGCATATCACACATGAAGCTTACAGGTAGTACTTACAATATAGGGCAGTATTACGCAAGTGACGTAACAATGCGTTCAGTTATTCACATTTTAATTGACACATTCGGTGTGAATTATGTTAATGAATAAATATAGATACAAACTAACGATGTACTTGTATGGTTTATTTCGATTTTTTTGAACGAAATAAACAATCCAGTAATTTTAAGACTTACTTGTTTTGTGTACTCAATAAATACCCTGTAATCGTTTCTAATGATGGTTATGAGTATGAGTGGTCTTTAATACAGTTGACGTCAGTATATGATCCTAAAAATCGTTGTTGACAGACTCCGAAAGCAGTTCCTAGCCATCAGCACCATGTCATTGCAAGGATTGCCACCGCTGCCGAAGAGCCTCAGTGGCTTCGCGGACGGCGAGCCTTCGCCCGAGCCCACGCCTGCCGTGGATGACAAACCCCCCACGAATCTTGACTCGCAGCTCACTTACTTGAAGAAGGAAATGGTGAGGCTCATCTTATATTACTTGCTTACATTATCCCTTCTTCCATTAAGTAGATTCTTGACACGTGATTGCAAAAAACAACGCTCGGTTATAAATTGCGCTTCTCGCCATATAATTTTAAACCGTCGACGTATATGACCTTGCATATAGTTAGTTACCAAGCTCGCATGCAATTATATATACCTACCTACATTGTTACATTGTTCCACTTGTTCATCCTTATTTTCTTTGGAAAATGATAAATGTTATTCTTACATATCAATTATAATCATCATAACTAAGACAAGCTCAAATGTAATCTAAAGATAATTTGTTATAATTTAAACCGTTGCTCTGTAAACTGAGATACATGTTAAGAGTCTATAGTACCTCAAATGGCTTTGAGTGATTCCGCAGGACAGCGAAATTGTTGAATCAATCACGTTGAAAAAAAAAAGGAAAATTGAGGATATATATTGATTACTATACGGTGTGATAATACGATTCCTAAAAATTTTCACGATAGAAAAAAACACAAAGTTAACTCGAAATTTTACAAGAAAACCGCCGAATTAAATAGGTAAAGCTTGACACTTTGTACTTTGGATCGTTCTTATAGTTCTGGCATAGAGTTGGATTTAAATCTTAAGTGTCAAGCTTGACGTGCTCTTGACCCTTGTATTTTACAATATCAATGTTTTTTTGTATTAACTGAACTAAATAAAACACGTATACCATACGACATACGTTTTTCAAAAGGCTTTAATTTCGTTTGTAAAAAAATAAAGCCCAGTATCCTTGCCTGTCGATCTAAGCAAAATGAACCGTATTACTACGGGATAAAACTTAATTCGAGCTGAGGTATCAACTCTTAATTGAGTTCAAATTGTTGTATGAACTAAGATACAAGTCACGAGTAAAACCGTTGTTCTATTATTTAAACATCTTATTCTACATCTTACTTCACGGTCTCATCCCTACATTTGTTCGATGGGTGAAATATAGAGACGCGTATAGCTTGGTACATGTAAACTATCCGTTTTTGTACCTTCTATCAGTGTTACCTTTGTTCAGTGTCCCCTCGGGTGCCCTAAGACTACAGCTGTTCATTGAACAGTGAACACCGCAAAAGACCCGACACACAGCTTGATGAATTGACTTGAACCCTTTTCACAGTAAGTTTAGTTTTCTCACCGAAAAGTGATTTGGCAGGTATTACAATAGGGTATCGTCGAGTATCGAAAATTAAATTCTTTTCATAAAACAAATTGATGTATTGATTGTAAAAACAATGACATTATTCTCCGGCTCTAGAGAAAAGGGGTAAAAAGTCTAAAATTAAAAGAAGCCAACTTTACAAGGCAACGCGAAAAACACTTAAAGCTTAATTATCGTATCTGTTTTTCGCGTCTCCTTGTATAGTTGGATTTTTGACTTGTACCCCTTTTCACTAGAGCCACAGTATTATAGAAATAGAAGTTAGAAAGAGACGGCAATACTTGTTTCTGACGTCACAACCGTAATTGCGCTTTACTAATTTCGTTATGTTCAAAAGGGACAGAGCATATTCTCACTAGTGCCTTAAACATAACTCTGATGTTAATTTATAATTATAATTTCAAAATATTTTCGGCAAACAAATAATTGAGAAAAAAAATTAGTAAATCAGTATAAGGTACTAAAAAACCGACCTCATAATTCATTCATCCCCTAGTTTGCCACCCTTAGAGGTGGAATATTTTCTTTAAATTTAAATGGGACCACTTCTACCCTCTTTCCAACAAAAAATAAAGAATCATCAAAATCGATTCACAAAGTTATCGCGTAACATACATACAAAAAAAAACATACTGTCGATTTGAGAACCTTCTCCTTTTTTTGGAGTTGGTTAATTAAGTTTAAAATTATATAATAATTTTTGAAGTTGAAACTTCTTTTGGCGGATATTCTTAACGGACACTCCAGGCCACTCTTTATTAACAATTTAGTTTAATTAATCGTTAGACATGGTGTTATGTGTCAGATAGAGCCAAATAATAAATAACAATAATGCACCAGACGACCACGCATGTTAATGTGCTCTCAAATTAGGAAATTCTCAGATCAATGAAATTAAATTTTGGGCACTACCCCAGGCACAGTTTAGAAAAGTTTCCCAACTAAACTTATCGGGAACCCAGACTCCAATAAGCGCTGTAAGCTAACCATTGGATCACCGATATCGTCATTCAATCTTTCAAATCTGTATTGCATAGTTCAAACGTCTTATTTATTCACTATGCATGGTCAAATTGTATTTACGTATAAATATTTGTGACTAAAACTGCATAAACATCATTTATTTAAACTGTTTAAGTTAAACATAGGTAATACACGATTTACTTGTTTGGCTCGTTTTTATATAAATAGCAATAATTAATGCAATCAAAACGTCAACGTTTACGCCCAATAAGAATACTTAAAAACCCATCGTAACTTACCAGTTTGTGATTCATGATTGAACAATATGAATCGTTATTTCACGTACTTTGAGTTATGTTAATTGTTTTTAACAGACTTAAAAAAAAGGAGGAGATTGTTAATTGGACTGTTGTTTTTTTTGTGTGTATATTCAATACTTGATATATTTATTGCTGCATTCATATGGTACATGTTTTAAAATTAAAATAATGCTACACATATGGGCCCTTTATTAGGGATAACAATAAGAGCAGTATCTAGGCTGAGGTTTGAATTATTAATTAGATTTATTATTTATCAAATAATAATATGAAATAAAAAATGTGTCATGTAATAAGCAGAATAATTATATCACTTGAAAGTTTGGATTTATTACAATAGCATAACTTTATAGTATATAATTAAGATTTGTTTATTATTCAAATTTATTATAATATTATTATTTTTAGGTGTCATCGAAGTATTCATTTAAATTGTAATAGCATTTATTAATAAGATGTAATTTTAATTTATTTACAAACAGTGAATACTTTTCCTCGTTTTTAATAATGGGCGGGAGCTTCGTTGAATATCCTCACCGACGTCGAGTGGGCTTGAGCTGTGTATGTGTAGCTGATATTACGCAATTACTTCAACATTTACGTAGTAAGACAATCTAGGTTTATTATTTTTAAAAGACTGCAAAAAAGGAGGATCTTCAATTCGCCTGTTCTTTTTATGTGTATGTTACGCGATTACTTAGACGTTTGTGGAACGATTTCAATTACTATTTTTTGTTGGAAGAGGGTCCCTCAGTAGTGGTCCCACTCAAAATTTCAACTTAGGAGATGAATTCGGTTTATTGGATTTCAGCATCTTTCCGTTAACAGATTTCAATAAAACTTGGGAAATAGATATAATTGACAAACCTTTAAGGTCAGTTTTTTTTGTAAGTTTATTATTTTTTATAGGTAATGAGACGTTACTTCTACTTTAAAATTCGGCTTTTTTAGTTTAAGTTACATCCTATTTCCGTTTTTTAATTTTGCTGTTTATGCTGGCCATGAATGAGGCGCGCCTCTCATTTTCTAGCTGCCACCTGATGCGGTGACGTGTTGCTTCGAGACATATTTTTTTTATAGTTCTTAGGTTTAGAAAATAATAATAACGCACACACTCACAGCCCTAGGAAATCCTGTATCGCGGCTGCCAGGGACACACACGCATAGACAACCACAATTTACACCAAAACTCACGAGAGAAATAAATGTAGGCCTTACAAATATTTCTGCCGGCTCGGGAATCGGACATGGGACCTTAAAATAAAATCGCATATATTTGTTCTTTCGAACAAAACAACGTTTCGGGCCCTTTACAGGTCCAATGATCACGGCTGAATCTTTTTATTGTATGATATCTAGTAACGGGACGAAGTAATCGTGCATTTGAGTGTATGCGTTATATCTCGTGCTTTCTGTAGCTCTTACGCACTCTTTCATGCTATTCCAACAGGTGGCTAGCGATGGCTATCATAGCTGCAATGCCACACAAAACTTTAATCGCAAAGATCTGGGGGGCACTGTCACTGCGCCTTTTACCCTGAGACATAAAGTTGACGAGTCCCAAGTGCCTATAGTTTTATCAGCATCCTTGCCCTTCTAAACCGGAACACACTAATGCTCACATTACTGCTTGACGGCATTTGAAGGCATAAATAGGTATGGTAACAATACTTCACTGGAGGAACTGTTTCAAAAGGAGCTCTGCCGCTACAAAACAAATATTCTCCATTAGATGAAGGGCACCGAGAAGCGACAGTCACGATTTTGTTAATATATTTTTTTTATAATTTATTTAAGCAACAAATGAAAACTTAAACGTCTTTACTAAGTTATATGAAGCTATTTGCATTTTCCACTCGTCGCCAATTTTAATAAGAATTTTGGCACATGTTTACAAATTTTTACTTAACCCTTTCTTTAGGTTTACCTGGTCATGGTCCTTCTTAATATATAAACACAAAGACAGCGTTCGCCTACAAACATTATAAAAGCATTATCTTGTAATAAAAAAATTATAAAGTCAAAACAAAAGCGCACACGTTATCCGCATTAACCATTTTTATAGTGAACCTATAAACTGTTTTACTACCTTAAAACCATATTTAGACTTTTTATTATGAAATTGAAGTAAAGGTATTGTATAATATCTGGTTTTATAGTTAGTAAAACTTGAGTTAGCTAGAGACGTCTTCATACATTTTTAAACTCTGTTTTCCCCTAATTGTGTCCAGTAGCGCAGACCTTTAAAAGCTTCCTACATTTTTAATGAGATAGGGATGGCTTTGTAAATTTAAATTAGTCTTTTCGTGAGCTACTTAAGTTCTGTTATATTATAACATCTCTTTGTACTAACTTTCTTTGTTTAATGAAGCATTTTTTTTTTGTTACATTCGATTAATTAAGTTTAAAAGAAAGTATTAATAACTTAGAGCACAAGGACTGGGCGTACACGCTTCCATTTACAAATAGCATTTTTTTTTTCAAAACGTATTTTAAAACACTGTTTTGATTGTGACACCT